TCAGTGACAGATAGCAGCAATGTAAGGAGGGGGGGTGGGAAGGAGTACATATGACAGACACCTGCAGCCAGGCAGGGACAGGAAAAAGTGAGCTCAAGGGGATCAAACATACAGGGGAACAATAAAAGAGAACAGGTGCAATGAGAGCGGATTAGAGACCGCAAACAAATGCGAGCATAGGAAATAGGATGCTACAGAACGAAGGGGGATGGGCGCAATTATACAAATTCAAAAGCAATTGGGTCTGTTCTACGTACAAGGCAGATCTCACAGTAAAGCCATAAACATGGATGTAATGAACATTCGTGTGCAACATTGGAGCTCAAGCCAGGAAGGGGGGAGGGGCACTTGGACGAGTTCAAGCCAAGGAGGGGGGGGGGGGGGCACTTTGCCGAGTTCAAGCCAAGAAGAGAGGGGGGTGGGCAGCACTTGGCCGAGTTTGAGCCAAGGAGAGAGGGGCTGGGGGCACTTGGCTGAGTTCGAGCCAAGGAGGGGGGGGGGCACTTGGCCGAGTGAGCCAAGGAGAGAGGGGGGGGGCACTTTGCCGAGTTCAAGCCAAGGAGAGAGAGGGGGGGGGGGCACTTGGCCGAGTTCAAGCCAAGAAGAGAGGGGGGTGGGCAGCACTTGGCCGAGTTTGAGCCAAGGAGAGAGGGGGTGGGGGCACTTGGCCGAGTTCGAGCCAGGAGAGAGGGGGGGGGGCACTTGGCCGAGTTCAAGCCAAGGAGGGAGAGGGGGGGTGGGTGGCACTTGGCCCGAGGGGTTCAAGCACAAGGAGAGGGGGGGGGGGGGGGGGGGCACTTGGCCGAGTTCGAGCCCAGGAGAGAGGGGGGGGTGGCACTTGGGTGGCACTTGACTTGAATACATAGCCCCAAATATAAGTGCCACTATAACAATACCTTACACACATATCTTGTCAGCATACAGCTTCATTAAAAGAGACTTTATAGTGAATAAGCAAGAATGGAACACCCCCATGATTAAAATTTGCCCTTGCTAAGAGGGCCCTGCACTGGAACATCCACAACTTTCCAACCAGCACACACCTTTGGGACTTTCATGGCAACCTAGCTAGAGCAAAAGTTATGAGTCGGGACATGTAGTCACCAAACAGCGATGCTAAAGTGCCATCTTCCCTATGCTATGTCATCTATAGAATCAGCTTACCATGGGTCGAAATTTAGGTTCTGTCCAGGATTCAGCCTTCAGGGGACCATACCCCATGAGGGGCTTACCTTTTTTCACACAGACATGGCTGTGTTCTATAGTAGCCTTAAAATGCCAAATCAAAAAAAAAAAAAAAAAAAAAAAAATTAGTTTACATCAATATTAAGGCACCACTAGACTACTTCCATTTGGCAGAAAGGAAAGGTGTATCGCCCTATGGCAAAAAGATAGCTTTAAAGTGCGTTTTTTATTTTCTTACTCGCCAATTCCACAGCACTGGATTTGTCAAACCAGATAATCCAATCAAAACCATTCTGGGTAAGCAACACAAACACTACACTTCACATGCAGTTCGTTTCATTAAATATTGCACGATTCATCCATTGATGTGAAATGTTGCTAGAACGTCAATCCTTCACATACCGCTCCACGTTTCATCTATCAAGGAACACCAAACAGAGCACGTTCTACACCAACGTCTGGAGAGTTGGGTACAGAAAAGCTGCGCCAAGAAACCACATAAACCAAGATCAGATGTGGCTCTCCCTTCAGGGAAAGATGCATTTCACCAGCAAACTGAAAGTCTAGAAGAGGAAGAAAAATCGATCTGGAATGCTAAGATTCGTATAAGAAAATGACCCTAGTCTCCTTATCGGAAGTAAACACTTCTGTTATGCGTCTCATTATGGACGAACGGAAAGTTTCAATTCATGGCTAATCCTAGAAAACGCATCGGATTAATTTTATGTGCAATGGCAGAGAAAAAAAAATTTCATTATATGTAGGCAATACATAGAAGCCAACATTTCAAAAATAGTTTATCTACGTTACCCCAAATTTCAGTGTTCCCATCACATTTTTAAAACACAACATTCCCGTTGTCTCACACAATATCATCCAAGGGTAACAGAGCAATATACACTACACTTGCCAAAAGTATTGGTCGGCCGGCCTTTACACACACATGAACTTTAATGGCCCCCCAGTCTTAGTCCGTAGGGTTCAATATGGAGTTGGCCCCGCCCTTTGCAGCTATAACACCTTCAACTCTTCTGGGAAGGCCGTCCACAAGGTTTAGGAGGGTGTCTATGGGAAGGTTGGACCATTCTTCCAGAAGCACATTTATGTGGTCAGGCACTGATGTCGGGGGAGGAGGCCTGGCTCGCAGTCTCCGCTCTAATTCATCCAAAAGGTGTTCTATACGGTTGAGGTCAGGACTCTGTGCAGGCCAGTCAAGTTCCTCCAAACCAAGCTTACTCCTCCATGTCTTTATGAACCTTGCTTTGTGCACTGGTGCGCAGTCATGTTGGAACAGGAAGGGGCCATCCCCAAACTCTTCCCACAAAGTTGGGAGCATGAAATTGTCCAAAATGTCTTGGTATGCTGATGCCTTAAGAGTTCCCTTCACTGGAACTAGGGGGCCAAGCCCAACCCCTGAAAAGCAACCCCACACCATAATCCCCCCTCCACCAAACTTTACACTTGGCACAATGCAGTAAGGCAAGTACTGACAACCACAAACCCAGACATGTCCATTGAATTGAGAAGCGTAATTCGTCACTCCAGAGAACAGATCACCACTACTCTAGAGTCCAATGACGGCGTGCTTTACACTACGGCATCCAATGCTTTGTATTGCACTTGGTGATGTAAAGCTTGCATGCAGCTGCTCGGCCATAGCAAACCCATTCCACGAAACTCTACGTTGTTGTGCTAATCTGAAGGCCACACGAAGTTTGGAGGTCTTTAGCTATTGACTCTGCAGACAGTTGGCGACTTCTGCGCACTTCAGCATGCGCTGACCCCGCTCTGTCATTTTACGTGGCCTACAACTTCATGGCTGAGTTGCTGTTCCCAGTTGCTTCCACTTTGGTATAATACAATAGTTGACCGTGGAATATTTAGTAGCAAGGAAATTTCACAGATGGACTTACTGCACAGGTGGCAACCTATCACGGTACCACGCTTGAATCCACTGAGTTCCTGAGAGCGACCCATTCTTAAAGGTTTGAAGAAGCAGTCTGCATGCCTAGGTGCTTGATTTTATACACCTGTGGCCATGGAGATGATTGGAACATAAGAATCCAATGATTTGGAGAGGTGTCCAATACTTTTGGCAATATAGTGTATATAGTAAATATCCAATTACAGCTTGTTTATAGGGAGGATAACATCCATGCCTCCTAGATCTTCAATGTCAGCCCTAACAAAGCAGGTATTTCTACTTTCTTAGATCACTCATGGGATTCTTACACACAAGCAAAATTCTGTGGACTCCCCTACAGATGATGGAGTTCAGGTGTTTCCATTGAAGGATACTATTAATACTACTGCAAACAGATATTGTGGTCTTCCAACCTTGTAATGGTTTGGGGAAGACCAATTTGGTTTCAGGACAACTGTGTCCCTGTGTACAAAGCCAGCTCCATAAAGACCTGGTTTGACTGGTCTGGTGTGGAGGAACTCAAGTGTCCTGCTCATAGCCCTAAACCTCAACTTTACAGAACACCTTTTGGATAAATTTAAACTTTTATTGTGCCAGGTCTTCTCATCCAACATCAGCACCTAAGCGTGAACTCAAAGTCCCACAGACTCCAAAATCTTCCTAGACGAGTGGAGGCCTATATAGTCACCATGTTTTAGAATGGGGTGTCCAACAGGCTGATATAGGCCTGATAATTGGCGTCAGCCTGCTGGCCATATAATGTATCTCTTGGGAAGTCCTGGGGCAAAAAAGGTGTCCAAGCTCTTCTACACCTAACAGTCTCACGTCTCCCACTGCAAGAAATGTATGCGTTCTGGAAGCCTTGTTGTCATGTACATACATACATACATAGATAGATATACACACACACACACGGTAGCCTGCTTTTTGTTCATTATATATACACACAACCTGGTATAACAATACTGCAGAGGGATTGTACTTTTCTAGTCCTCTGTGGAAGTATACAGATTAGCTCAGATCCAGTTACAGAATTACAAATACATACACTGTTGGGGCAGACTGGTTGAAGGTCTCATGGCTTTGGAAACGCTCCCCAACCCTGGCTGGGGAGATAACTACTTTGATCGCTCACTCCACTCCCCCATCATGACACCGTGTCTTCCAATAGCTCATCTTTCCATTCATCCCCATCTCTATTGACATAAACAGGAATATTCAATCAGCTGGCTGAGGAGATACCAGCTATTCCAGCTATTACCCCCCCCCCCCCAACCCATATCTTCCCATCAATCCCCTTCTTCATTGACATAACTAGAAGATTTGGTTGAGTAACAGAATTTTTTTTTTTTTTTTAAATGGATCCCGCCATTGTTTCCCACCACCTGACTCCAGCTTTACTGCACATTCCCAGCCAGTCACCCTTGTGGTTCTATGCACAGCAAGAAGAGAATTAGCAGTCTGAAATGCAATGAGCAAGCATGCAAAATATAAAAAGTAAAAAAAAAAAAAAAAATAAAGAACTTAATGTGTACAACAAAAAGGACTCCCACATGAATGGTCGCATCAGGCAGAGCAGAAAAGCGCTCACCCCCAGAAGATCCTAGGATATACTGTTGGGCGACTCTGCTCACAAGGCTCTATGAACTGCAATGGCAGTTTTGGTTAGAATGCCTCTGTAAAGACTCAAGCTACACAAAAAGACAAGAACTAATCACACATGCGGAAAAGACGGACTTAACGGGACATCACTGAAAATTGTGGAAGGAATTTCCAGGGACGGCTCAGAAACTTCTGGCAGTGTCCCTGGAAATCAGGCCCTTTGAATTTTGGTGCGACTCTGGCATGCACACATGCACAAGACGTGGCTTTTCCGAACATCTCTCCTTACCTCTGGGCTCCTCAGCCTGCTTTGCGAGTTTGCGCAGCGCGGCGGCGAAGCTGGAGGAGGGTGCGGACTGGACTGAGAGCGCGCTGCTGGCCGCCGGGCTGCCGTTGGGTACCAGGGAGCCATTGATAGGGGAGGGAGTGAGGGGGCTGACTGTGGCCGTGGTCCGAGTGGCTGTCGAAAGCATTCCTATGGAAGCTGACTTTGGCTCATGGTTCATGCCTGGAATGAGGGGAAAAAACAAAAAATAAGGCTAAAGCAGAACAATTAAAAACAAAAGAAAAAAAAAAAAAAATACAAAAAAAAAACATGACTACTACTACTACAGGGCAGGACTGGCTGCTATTTACTAAACGTGTCACAAGAAATCTCTGCAATCAAAGAGGCCCTGTCATCCAAGCACACAATATTTTATGGAATGCAGCACACTAAAGCACCTCATTATCCTGCTATAGAAGTATTCATCTGGATTGAGGTTATGGTTATTCTCTTGGGAAAAAGGAAGACTGATGTAACTCCGTATCTTTGGTCTAATAAAAACACTCTCCAGACAAACATCGGGATGAAACGAATGTTTATGTAGTTCTAAGAACCAGAAGTATATAGAAAAAAAAAAACTGAATGAGAAAAACAAGAGAGGTGTTTATTCCCAGCGACCCGGACATCAACCCAACACCGCCGCACATTATGCTGAGATGAAGAAAAGGAGTTGCTGGTGAGCTTAGGCAAATAGTTGTTTTTTTTATCAGTTGAAAGCTGGCCTGTTTCAGGGATAGAATCCCCTCTTCCTGGGGTCTTGGACTCTCATGTATCTTTGCTGTGTACTGGGTTGCAATCTTGACATTTTACCAAATTGAGACTTTATTAAGAAGTTAGCAATCACAGCTGTACAGGCAGTCCCCAGGTTATGAACAAGATTGAGAGAAGGTTCTGTAGGTTTGTTCTTGAGATGAATTTGTAAGTAAGTTGGAACAGGTACTTTTTTAATGTAACTCCAGCTAAAAAATATTTTTTTAAGTTTTAGATAGCATATGTAAGGGTTAACTGGCCATGCAGTGATGGGGGATTGCTGACAGCTCTGCCGGACCTTGCGTGGCAGCATGCAGTAAGCAGCAAGATGGCCGCCCTGCGATTTCTCGGATGACACGTTGCCTGCGTTCTTAAGTATTATTATACAGGATTTATATAGCACCAACAGTTTGCTCAGCGCTTTACAATATAAAGGGAGACAATACAGCAACAATACAGTTCAATACAAGAGGGATAGGAGGGCCCTGATCCTTGGAGCTTACAATCTAAGAGGGAGGGGCTGGTGGTACAAAAAGGTAGTAACTGTGAGGGATGGACTGGTAGGAGGAGTAGAAGATTCCATTATTAGCTGAGGGCAGGATAGGCTTCCCTGAAGAGAGAGGTTTTCAGAGTTCGCCTAAAAGTCAGCAAAGTAGGCGATAGTCTGATAAATTGGGGTAGAGCGTTCCAGAGGATGAGGGAGGCTCTGGAGAAGTCCTGGAGACTAGCATGGGAGGAGACAAGGGAGCTAGAGAGCAGGAGATCGTGGGAGGAGTGGAGAGGACGGTTTGGGTGATATTTGGAGACAAGATTGGTGATGAAATTTGGGGCGGAATTTAAATGGCTTTATATGTTATTGTTAATGTTAATGTTTTGAATTTTATTCGTTGGGCAAAGGGAAGCCAATGGAGGGATGGACGCCAGTGGAAAATTGGCAGAGAGGGGTGGCAGATAGAGAACGGGTAGTAAGGTGGATGAGTCTGGCAGCAGCATTCATGATAGACTGAAGAGGTTATAGCCTGCGATGAGGTCGGGATGAGGAGGGAGTTACAATAGTCAAGGCGAGAGATAACCAGGGAGTGAATAAGTTGCTTAGTGGTTTCAGAGGTTAAGAACGGGCGATTCTTGGAGGTGAAGTCTACTTAAGTAGGAGTCGTATGCAAGTCACATGTATGTAACTCGGGGACTGCCTGTACTTTCTATTGCTAATCACTCACCTGCACGTTTAAGGGGGAGGAATTCTTGAAACTTTAAAAAACAAGGTGGCTTTAACTAGTAGAAGATTTATTTGCATAGAAGTAGCTTATTGATTTAGCTATTTGGGGCATTTTTTTTTTTTTGGCCTCAAATTTTCACCTAGACAGAGAGAACAACATCATAAGTCCATGGATTGCTGACAACATCCCAAGTAAACAAAGAAGTCGGAGAACCCCCAATACCACTACTGGAGGTTCTCCGACTTCCAAGTTTTCACCTCTACTTGTGGGTAGAGGGAAACACCAACTTAGGACGACACTAGTGAAATCTACAGTTCTCCAGAAAATCAGGACCAAAGAGGTTCCTTGGGTCCAGCATGACTCCTGACCAAGCCCTTCCATGCTTTCTCTCAAGACCAAACCCTACCACACTTTTCCTTGTACACTCCTGCCCCCCCCCCCCCCCCCCCAACCGGGGCCCTTCTACACTATCCAGAGACCAAATCCTTCCCCATCCAGAGAGCAAAATAAGTCAACAAAAGGAAGCAGAGCAACAAGGTGACTTGAGAAAAATCAAACTTTCTGCCAAAACACTTCACCTTGTCAATTAATGCTCAAGCCACAACATGTAAAGTGCTGCCGGATCTGTCAGTGCTATATACATGAAAAAAAAAAAATGTTTTGAAAATTGCCTCTTTTGTGTTGAGATTTCCCAGTGTAGTGGTTATCAGGTGACCTCTGCTACCAGGAAGCAAATTAGTTTTCTGGGGTCAGTAACGGGAATGTTAATGGATACACAGCCCAATACTGTTTGTTGACATTTGTACAAGGGCTCACGGGGCCAGGACAGGACAGGGAGCGGCCAAGTGACATTTCACGCAAGCCGTGAACTGAACACAAGGTCAGTCCACCCAGCAATGCCAATACCAGACTGGGAAGCATCTCAGTGCAGCCACAGACCACCAGAATTTGCAGCAGATAGGTCTGCTCAGCACATCTCTATCTCTGCCCCCTTGCCCTTTCAGGGACAACATACTGGGTATTGCAAGTCTATGACTGTACTTATAGCAACAGGACACTGTTGTGTGATTTATATTTTTGTATTCCTCCCGCAATGCACATCAGGTTATCATGCTTAGAGTGGTGGTGCCGGTACAGCGAAACCTTTGATCTGCTGCATCGCACAATACCAACATGTTTCAGGCTTTAGAAGCTGGATTGAGCGAGGGGCATTCAGTAAAGAGAAGAGCACAGGCAGGACCGCAACAGTGCACAGATTCTCATTCACACTCCAGCAAGCAGACCAGCGACAGTGAATAAGGGTAATGGAGTCATACATTTCAGATATGACTGAACAGAATGAAATGTTGGAAGGATAAAGAGAAACAAAACCTATATCTGTGGGTTCTGAATTCTCACAGACACAGTGCTTGCTCTTAGATGAATGGATGGTCCAGTGACATAAGCAACAAAACCAACAGAAATTGAGATTTCCCAGAGATTGGGGCTCATCACTGTATTGCTATGATGTCTTCCATGAGCAGACAGACACCCAGAACTCTTAAAGTACCCAAAGCCACAATAAAATGAAGTCCTAAGGACCGGCTGGACTGCCATTAGCAATATATCTACAAACTTCAAAGCTGGCTGCTCTCATCGTCCATTGCACATGAATGGCATCCTGTTCATCTTTTCCCTCCCTCTGAGGACTCATTTTGCCAGACAATTGAGTGCGTCGGTGGACTCCTCCATATGCCATGCTAACAAAAATCTGCAGTCCGATCAGCCATTCGATTAATGTACTCTGGTTACAACCAATCTCATCATCCAGATAGAGGTTCTTATACCTAACCTATCATCGGGAACATCCACAGCAGCCCAGCAAGATTTAATTGTCAAAGCTCTCCATCCACACCTGAGCAATTTGTAGCACTTTTCCCCAAAGCATGACAAATGCTCACCATGAAGCTGTGCATTATATTCAATGGTGCCCATTCACACCTGAGTGTTGTGCTGCCGCTTGTCATGCAAATAAGCACATGAGCTTTTGAAGTGCAGAGTCGTGTTTTTTGGCTACATACAGTGCATCCAGAAAGTATTCCCAGCGCTTAACGTTTGCCACAGTTTGTTATGTTACAGCCTTATTCCAAAATGGATTAAATTCATTTTTTTTACCTCAACATTCTGCAAACAATACCCCATAATGACAACGTGAAAGAAGTTCGTTTTGAAATCTTTACAATTTATTAAAAATAAAAAACTAAAAAAAAAACCCCCATGTACATAAGTATTCCCAGCCTTTGCTCAATACTTTGTGGAAGCACCTTTAGCACCAATTACAGCCTCAAGTCGTTTTGAGTATGATGCTACAAGCCTGGCACACCTATTTTTTGGCAATTTGTCCCATTGTTCTTTGCAGTACCTCTCAAGCTCCATCAGGTTGGATGGGGATCGTCGGTGCACAGCCATTTTTAGATCTCTCCAGAGATGTTCAAACCGGGTTCAAGTCTGGCTGGGCCACTCCAGGACATTCAGAGTTGGAACGTAGCCACTCCTTTGTTATGTGGGCTGTGTGCTTAGGGTCGTTGTCCTGTTGAAAGATGAACCGTCGCCCCAGTCTAAGGTCCAAAGCTCTCTGGAACAAGTTTTCATCAAGGATCTCTCTATACATTGTTGCATTGATTTTTCCTTCGATCCTGACTAGTCTCCCAGTTCCTGCCACTGAAAAACATCCCCACAGCATGATGCTGCCACCACCATGCTTCACTGTAGGGATGGTATTGGCCTGGTGGTGAGCGGTGCCTGGTTTCCTCCAGACATGACGCTTGGCATTCAGGCCAAAGAGTTCTTTGTTTCATCAGACCAGAGAGTTTTGTTTCTCATGGTCTGAGAGTCCCTCAGGTGCCTTTTGGCAAACTCCAGGTGGGCTGCCATTTGCCTTTTACTGAGGAGTGACTTCCGTCTGGCCACTCTACCATACAGGCCTGATTGGTGGAATGCTGCAGAGATGGTTGTTCTTCTGGAAGGTTCTCTTCTCTCCACAGAGAAATGCCGGAGCTCTTTCAGAATTACCATGGGGTGCTTGGTTACCTCCCTGGCTAAGGCTCTTCTCCCTTGATCACTCATTTTGGTCGGGCGGCCCGCTCTAGGAAGATTCCTGGTGGTTCCAAAATTCTCCTATTTACATATGATGGAGGCCACTGTGCTCATTGGAACCTTCAGTGCTGCAGAAAATTTTCCGTACC